TGTCATAAAATTATCTATAGCATGCATTATTTTGTAATTAAAAAACTAATAAATATTTTTAAATGAAAACATAAAATAATTTCAATGAAATAAAATAAGTTCCTAAAATATTCTGCCTATTCATTTATTTCCTGTGATGGTTAATTGTTGTTGTTGTTGTTGTTGAGGAAGATTCACCCTGAGCTAACATCTGTGCCCTTCTTCCTCTATTTTGTGTATGAGTCGCCGCCACACCATGGCCGATGAGCAGTGTAGGTCCATGCCTGGGATCTGAACCCGCGAACCCAGGCTGCCGAAGCAGAGCACCCTGAACTTAACCACTACACCACAGGGCTGGCCCCTGTGATGGTTAATTTTACTTGTCAACTTGGCTAGGCCATGGTAGACACATATTCAGCCAAATGCTATTCTAGATGTTTCTGTGAAGGTATCTTTTAGATGAGATTAACATTTAAATCAGTAAACTTTGAGTAAAGCAGATTTGCCTCCATAATGTGGGTGGGCCTCATCCAATCAGTTGAAGGCCTTAATAGAAAAATTGACCTCCCTTGAGCAAAAAGGAATTCTGCCAGGAGGCTGCCTTTGGACTTGAACTGCAACTCTTCCCAGCCTGCCTGCCTACCCCACTTTTTGGACTTCCAGCCCCCACAATCATATGAGCCAATTCCTGAAAATCTCTCTCTCTTTACATAGCTGTATCTATATCTATATATCTATATCTATATATCTAAGTCTATGTCTATGTCTGTGTCTATATCTATGTCTATATCTATCTATATCATCATCTATATCTCCTTTTGGTTCTGTTTCTCTGGAGAACCCTGACTAATACATTCTCCTACTACATAAAGTGAAGCTTATGGTGTAATGGAATGTGCTTGCACGGAAAGTTTGAGTTGAATACTGACTCTACTACTAGTGCTTATCTTTGAGTGAGTTACTCCACCTCTTAAAACTTTAAAGTCCAGGGGCTGGCCCCAAGGTGTAGTGGTTAAGTGCGTGCGCTCCGCTGCTGGTGGCCTGGGTTCGGATCCCAGGTGCGCACTGACACACTGCTTGTCAGGCCATGCTGTGGCGGTGTCCCACATAAAGTGGAGGAAGATGGGCACGGATGTTAGGCTCAGAGCCAGTCTTCCTCAGAAAAAAGAGGAGGATTGGCATGGATGTTAGCTCAGGGCTGATCTTCCTCACACACACACAAAAAACTTTCAAGTCCTCTGAAAAATGTGGTAGACTTACTCACTTTGCAGGGATGGTGTAAGGATTAAGTGAGGTAACATATGTAATGTACCTGGCGCATAGTAGGTTCTGAATAATCCTCTTCCATTGTATGATATACATCGCAAATATAAGAGTTGTTTATTTTCTAGGGTTTTCAACAGAAACCTAGAAGGAGGTCACATAACTAGAGGACCTATTGCTAGAATTGAATACAAGGTTGCACATGCTAGGAAACTCCTACCAATGGCCTCCATGCTTACAACAGTTATTCTGGAGGTGGGTGCGTATTTGAATGATAAGCATTGTAAGAGACTCACAGGGATGCCGTATCGGGTCCTGTAGAGGGTCCTCATGGCGACACTTGTTCCACAGAGACAGCATTCATTCATATCAGATGCAACTTGACATGCAAGGCACATGAAACAAAATGTGCCACAGAAACCTGGACACACGAAACCAGAGGTACAAGTTACTCCACTCTGCCGCCACTACAGTCGAAAGCTAGTTTGCTTTCGTGAATGGCAGTCCAAACCATGAGGCCTTTGCCGCATGCCCTGCTGCCAATCCACCCTCAATGCTTTGTTCAGCATCGCAGCAGCTTCTCCTTTCTCCCTACCCAATCATTTCAGGAATGGACACACCTTGGAAAGTATGTATGCTTTTTGTAGCACTTTCATCCTTTTATTGAATGATTCCCTGAAATTTAGCCATATTCCAGAGATTATCCTCAGTGCCTCTGTCTGAAATCTGGTAGGGAAGTCAGATAATATGAAAATTTCTCCAACAGAAAGCTACTCAAGATGCCAAGGGGTCACCCACAGAAATGGGGCCTTCAAGGCATGGAGAAGGAAACGCTGCTTGATCCAAATATTGAAGGCTAATTAGGAATTTACAGGTAGACAAAAGGGCAAAGAGCCTCTTTGAGATAACTTGGCATGTCTTGGCAATGGCTGGTGTTCCTTCCATATGGCCGGAGCCCAGGGATGGGATGGGGATGAAGCTGGAGGACGAGGCAGGTTGGGGACTGGGTGATGACTGTGAGTGCTCAGAGTCGGTTATGAAAGTCATGAGAAACCACTGAAATATTTTAAGAAGGGAGAACGATTGGGTCAGATCTACAGTTAAGAAACCCTGCCGTGAAGCAATTAAGCTCACATTAGAACTTGTAATTCACTTACCTGAGTAACAATACTAGTGGCTGGAAGATTAAAACGTTCATCTTTAGAGGGTTTTACTGATGTAGTCTCATTATCACTGTGATCTGCAGACGTTGAGCTAATGTTCTGAGATGTGGAACTCATCACCCCAGGTCATCAGTAAGACAATGAGAGTGAATAAACAAACCCCATTGTTCCATTTCCTAGGTAATTTTTCCCCTCTATGCTTTTCAATGTAATTACCTACTCGATTCCAAATTTCAGTTTCACTGGTACTTTAAAGGTTAACGTATCTTCTTTCCTTGTCTCAGAACACTATGTAGACTTGAGACAGGCAAATAAACTTCAAAGCAAAATTTTTTGTAGGCAGATTTGTTTGTTTCTTGGTTGGTGCTGAGAACAAAGCGCTTTGATCCTCTCTGACACCCCTGTCGCACCCCCAAACTTCCTTTCCCATGTTCACTTAGATCTCATAAAAAGAAAACAAAGCAGAGTCAGAGATATTCTCCCAATGAGAAGCTAATTGCCTTTAGAATTCTTTATTCTCAGATGTATAAAACACCTAAATGTACAAATTAAAATAATCCTTCTCTGAGCTCACGCTGAAACCATGGACAAAACCCTCGTGCGCTGGGCACAATGTAACTACAAAGTAGTAAGTCTAATTTATAACAAGAACAGTCTCTCTCCTTTTTTAAATCAAGTTAAACTTGAAATGTCTCTCTTAATTTAATGTATGGTCTATTTATAATCATTAGGCCGGGTCTGTTCATTGCTAGAATCATCAGCTTTTTTACTGTTAACTCCAGAACTTATTTTAGGAGTAAGACTGCTCTTTGAAGGGCTAGAGAAGCATTTACCTATAATCAGCACAGGCCTTTTATGTTAACATCCCATTGCCTGACATGCAGGGTGCCCTGTAACAGGTCAGGAACTTTTACTATACAATAAGGGAGGAATGAGGGAAGGGTTGGTCTCTGGTAATTCACCTCCATGTCAAGCACGGGGGCACTTTTCCCAGCACTTACAGACTCCGCAGTCGCTGAAGCAATCGCACATGCCAGTCTGCCAGTTGGAGGTTTGGGCAATGCGACCAGATCCGGGCTGAGTCACAATGACCACCGGCGCAGAACTTTGCATTTTCGATGCAGGGTCTTAAATGGCTGTGATCTGAAAAGGAGAAAATTGGTTTTAAGTTGCCTGGAGGTTGCTCTTGGAGCCTGTTTTGAGGCACTCTTTTCACAGGTGAGCCACGTAATTTAGTATCAAGTTGCTTGTTTATCTTTGAAGAACGTGGTTTCTATCTCCACTTCCCAGAGGACAGAGGCCCGTGGGGGAAGGAATTCACTGAACCAGTAAAAGGAACAGATGCTTCCCTTGGAGTAATAGAGCGGAACAGGGTGGTGAGTACTGTTTTCAGACCTAGTATCCTAGTATCGTAGTACCTAGTATCCAAACAAGACAGGGCAACAAATGACCAACCTGTGATTGTGGTCAGAAGTGGCAAATTACAGGAAACAGGCTTCTCTAAAATCGCACCATCCTAAGCTTTTGTGCACACGCACCCTTCCCCCTCTCGCTCCTCTTTGTGTTACTTCTTGTTTTGGATTTCTGATGAGCAGTCGTAAGAAAAAACTGCCCTGTTTTCTGTCTACTCACAGAAGACTCTGCTTCACTTCTGATCACCAAATGTGTGGTAGTTTTTCCCACACCAAGTCATTGTGCAACACCAGCTGGAGTGTCCTACAATTCAACTCGATTCTGACACTGTCTACAGGAGATAGTGTCAGATCCCACAGGTTAAGGAGTTAGTCCCACAAGACTGCCCCCTCCTCCACTTTAGATGCCACTTGGCAGTCCAGGTTGCCACCTGTGCTTCTGACCTATCGGCTGTAGATCAGAGCTTCCCACGACCCCTACTCAGGTTCGGTTAATTTGCTAGAGTGGCTCACAGAACTCAGGAAAACAGTTTATTTACTAGATTATTGGTATATTACAAAGGGTATTAAAGGATACGAGTAACAGTCAGATGAAGAGATACATAGGGTGAGGAGAACCTGTGGAGTTTGGGGTGTGCCACCCTCCCGGCACCCCAACCCAAAAGCTCACTAAACCCGATCCTTTTGGGTTTTCATGGAGGCTTCATCACATGGGCATGATTGATTAAATCATTGGCCATTGGTGATTGAACTTAGTCTCCAGCCATCTCTGCCCTCCCCAGAGGTCTGGGAGGTGGGGTTGAAAGTTCCAACTCTCTAATCACCTGGCTGGTTCTCCTGGCAACCAGCCCCCATCCTCAAGGGCTTTCCAAAAGTCACTTCATTAGTATAAACTCCTCTGTAGTTGAGAGGGGCTTGTTATGAATATCAAGACACCTTTATTGCTCTTATCACTTAAGAAATTCCAAGGATTTTAGAAGCTCTGTGCCATGAACAGAGATGAAGACCAAACATCTATTTCTTATTACAAATCACAACATCACAGCAGCCCTCTCCAATCTTCCTGCGTCCAAGTTGGTCCTTCACTTCAAATTCAGCTGGAGCCTGTATCCCTGTCAGTGCTGGCTTGACAGACCCTTGACGCATGTCAGGGGGAAGCCCTGATAGTGTGTCCCAGCAAAGTTTATTATGAAGTGCATTTTGTTAGATTACTCCTAATTTCTCCCCATCATGAGAGGCAGTGTGGGGTCATGGAACATACATCAGATTTAGAGTGAGAATATCTTTGCTCAAATCCTGGTCTCCTAAACTGTGTGATCTTGGACTAGTCATTTAACAGCCCAGTCATTTAAATTTCCACTTACTAATCTGTAAAATGGAAATGGTTTCTCACCTACCCACCGCACAGGCTCATTGAGTATTAAATGAAATAAAGTCTGGGGATGAGTTTCATGAACAATAAAGAATCAGATAAATATAGAAGAGAGTGGCTATAATGTACAAAAATGTAGCAAGAAAATTTCTTTTGATGATTTCCTTACACATTTACTGGCAATCATATCAGCGAATAGTAAATGAGATTCTACTCTAGATCAGACACTATACTAGACTCACATTGTCTGCTAACCTTACAACAGCGCTGCAAAATAGAAATTATCTTTATTGAGTTGATAAGGAAATGGAGGCTCAGAGAGTTTAAGTAAATTGTGAAATTCAGATCCTTCTCTGGGTCACTCCACAGTCCCTGTTCCTCCCTTTGCCCCTCAGCTTAGAGCCCCCTCCATCATAGCACTTATTATAGTGTGGCATTGTCATTGGTTTGTTGTGATCTCCTTGAGGGTTCTCCTTGGAACCCTCTTTTCATATTTATTCCTTTAGCATCAAGCTCAATGTTAGGCTCATAGAAGTTACTTTTCATTGTCTTGTTGAATTAAGTACTTATAATATGCTTTATTCCCTTACAGTGTGCTAGGCGCTGGGATGTAATACATTCCACTTCAGAATTCAGGACATGTTTCAAAAAGCACAAAAGGAAAACACTAAAATTGAAAATACAGTGCCTCCAGATACTCAGGAAATGGGATTACAGTATTTGCTTTCTTACATTCTTTCCCTCATAGAGAGAGAAGTTTCAAAAACAAGCAAATTACCTCAATTGTTTCATATTATTTTACACTGTTTCTATTTGTTGAATTAGTTGGTTTCTTTCTAGATCTCATTCCTTAGTAACACCTGGCTGGTTTGGTAGTTCTCTTGAACAAGAATAGAGCAGTATGTGAAACCAGGAATGGTTTTAAAAACAGGGCAATGTCTTGGATATTTCTCCACAAAATTGAAAGTGTATCATGCAGGAATGGTTCAAACTTGTCTAAATCTGCCCAGGCTTCATCATAGCTAATTATAAATTAAGCAGGTCTACTCTTATAGATGGTACCCTGAGTCCTAGCAAATAGTCTTATGCCAAGGATGCTCAGTTATTTTGGATGAAGATAAAACCAGTTTAATTTTTTTTAATAAAGAATGAAGAAGCTTAAAAATGTTCTTTTAAATGTTTGTATCTGTTGAACATCGTCACCATCAGAAAATAGCTCTAGGTATTTCCCTTCCCATTAGTGAGTGTAGTATGCAAACACCATGTATTTTTTTAAGTTTTAATAAAATTATTATAAGTACAAAAAAAGAATACAAAATCTGACATTAAGTATTTAAAAAAACCTCTAAAAAGAGAGACATTTGAAAGCCCTAAGGTTGAGAGAATGGCAAAAAGGCAGGAACAGATAATTTGCAAAAGAATACATGAAAATAACCCTTAATATATTAAACAAAAGTTCAGACTCACTAAAAATTAAAGAAATGCAAATTAAACACTTGTCAGATTGGCAAAAATTAAAAAGTATGCAACATATTCTTTTGGCAAGGCTGTGGAGAAACAGGCACTCTAATATATTGCTAGTGGGAATGCAAGTTAGTACAACCATTCTGTTGTTGGGAAGGAATTTTGGCCTAACAAACTATATATGCACCTACCATTGGACCCAGTGATCCCACTCTAGAAATTTATCCTGAAGATATACTTCCAACAATGCCAAAAATACACATGCGTGAGGTTATTCATAGCAGCATTGTTTGTTTTTGCAAAATATTGTAAACAATCCAAATGCTTCTATATGGGAGAGTGGTTGAATAAACCATGGTACATCCACGCAACTATGCAGCTATTGAAAAAAGAATGAGGACAATCTCTATAAACTGATATGGAATGATTTCCAGAATATACTGTTAAGTGAAAAAAGCAATGCACAAAAGAGTATCTATTGTAGGATATCCTTCATGTAAGGAATAAAGGGATATAAGAAAACATACATGTATCTGTTCAATTGTGCAATAAGAATTACAGGACGAATAAACCAGAAACAACTGAAATTTGTTATGTTCAGAGTAAATGGGGTGGAAAGATTGGGAGAATGGAAATGCAGTAGTAGGGATGGGGTGACACTTCTCTAAGTATACCTTTTTGTATGGCTCTGACTCTTTGAACCATGCTAATATTTTACATATCTAGTCAACACATAAATGGATAATTAAAATCAACCAGAATGTGGAAGGAACACAAAATACAATAAAAACAGTAACAAATGGACCTAACTATTTAGGTGCATATTACAATTAATATTATAACCACAGTGAAGGGAGTGGGGAAGAGAAAGGTAACCTAAGTAATTTTGGAAAACAGTAGTTTGACTATATAATGTAAAGCTAAACACAAAAAGAACTGACACAAATATTGTAGTCTAGTTAGCACACTTGTTTTTCACAGGGATATGGGTTAGCAATTCTGAAACTTCTCTCTCTCTCTCTCT